CCTTTAGCTGATTTAACTCTTGACACTCCCACATACAGCTGGCCATGACTAAACACAGGTTCGGGAAAACATATCCCAACCTTGTCGAGCGTTTGGCCTTGGCTCTTGTTTATTGTCATGCCATAACACAATCGAACTGGAAATTGCCGACGTTTAAGAGTGAATGGCCACTTGGGGTTCTCCACATTCAGTATAATTCTTGGAATGATAACTTCGTCGGTGTCACCAAAACCACCCATGATAGTTCCCTTGATGATATCATTGCCCAGCGATGTGATCATAACTCGTGTCCCGTTGCATAGACCAAGACCTGGATTGATGTTACGAAGCAACATAACAGGAGTATGGATCTTCAAGGTAAGTTCGTGATCTGGGATCCCATTGAATGTCAAAGAATTGAGAAATTCTGTCGGGTAGCACTCTTCGAATGAGTCGGCTGTCTCTGTCGTTTGCAGTAGTGAATCTGAACTGTAGTATGTTTTTCCTGGGTCTGCAACCTGCTCCAACATGTATTTGTTGAATTCAGAGACAGTTTCATTCGTCGGAGTCACAACTGCCCTATTTGCAAGATACAATGGATTTTTGTAATTTTCAGCAAACGAATCATAGATGTCTGTTGCAAGAGATTCAATAGGATCAGCACCATGATCCACTAAAAAAACCTACGGGATCTGCACCCAGTCTTCTGGGGTGTCTTGGCGGAAAGATCTTGTTTTGAGACATCCATCTCCCAAGGCAAGAACCCACTGTGGAAATGTATAACCATGAAGAAACCGTTGTTCGTCTGGTAGGGAATCATTTATTCTCATATTTGTTGACAGTTTCAGAATTTTAAAAGAATCCCAGAGAAGAGATCGAGTTAGGGAGCCATCCACTGTCTGCTCACGGCCAGCCTCCGTTATAACAGGGAGTGTTTGTCTGAAGTCTCCACCAAACAGCACAGTTTTACCCCCAAACAACTTGTATCTCTCCCCACTCAATGGTATGTTCATGATGTCACATAAGGTACGATCCACTGCCTCAAAAGCTTGACGATGCGTCATGGGCGCCTCATCCCATATTATCAAAGAAGCTTCCTTGAGTAATTCTGCCAGGTGTGTCCCTTTCTTGATTGTGCAGGTTGAAGATGCATCCAATATAAGGGGTATCTTAAATCTAGAATGAGCAGTAGTTGCTTTAGGCAACAGTGTTGCTGCAATGCCCGATGAAGCAACTAAAATGACGAGCTTTGATTGGCTTCTTAATTTTGCTGTGATCGCATTATATAGGAATGTCTTGCCGGTTCCCCCATGGCCATACAAAAAGAATGGACAGCCAACATTATTGTGAACTGAGTTGAGCACTGCTGAATATACATGGAACTGTTCCATGTTGAGGGAATGCAACATTGTGTCGGCTAAATCACGTTGTTGTTGCACATCAAAGTCCAAGTGATCATTTATCAAGGTATTTGTTCCATCATCAGCTGGTGCATCTGTTGGCAGCGGGAGATTAAAAGCTTGCAGTGACGATGAGTGAGAGGCAAGCAATTGTTGCAGCTGGTGTAAGACCCAATTCTTAAGTCTTTCATCGCTCGGCAAATTAGCTTCAGGACCTCTGGTTCTGCTGACACTGTATGCATAATCATCTCCCATAAAACGCCAAGCTGAATTGAATAATGCCACAGGGTTTGGAATCTCACAAAACATCAGCATGGTCACGAAAGTAGTTCGAATTGTTCTCGGCATGCTAGAGGAAGCAATCTCAGCAAGTACCCTTATCCATTCCAATGAGTCAGACAAGAGACCCAATTTTTCACAAGCCTTTTAAAAATCTGGGCAGACCTCACCTTCAACGGTTCTTAGATGAGCATAACCCATGGCACCGCGAACCTTGGTCAGCATAATCCTCAAGAAAAACACATCTCCAGACCCAGGCGGTACATATGCAACCCAACCAATCGCAAACCCTCGTTTACATGGTGTCCTATCTCGCATACATGGTGCGCCTATGTTTGCTTCTCCGCAAGGGCCATGTAGCATATATTTTACAACAGCCTCATATCCTAGAGGATCCACTTTAGGGTCTGGAATTTCTGCCGAAATTACTTCATCTATATATGCTGTTGTGTTCAATTTATCTTCAGCTGCAAGCCACACCAATAGGTGTATATGAGGAAGGCCTCGTTTCTGGAATTCAACTGTGTACATGACTGCACTTCAACAACTACGTTAGTTAGCTGATTCCATTCAAACACGAATGAGATACAAAAAAACACAGGGAACATAACATAAGGTTGACCAAAATAGCTGAGAAAGCAAGGCGATTCAGCTCCACAGTTGAGAAAGCATCTATACAATAATGTTGTAGTGCTTTGCCTGCTTGTAGAATTGTATGGCCTTCATTTTGGCGAAACTGTAGTCTGAATGCATAGTATTCTCGCTGGGTAACAAACTGTCTTCGCATGGAAGGAGGGTAGAATGTTGGGTTGTACTTGATGAGTGGATGATATCCATCTTCTCCGTATGGAAACAGCAAAGGGAAGTGAAGGGCCTCGAACTTGGGATTTAAGCTGGTTATGCGTTTTAAGCCATCATAAATATGATCAACGATAATATCCCGATCATCTCTATCGGGAATAAAGTCACCAGGGATTAGTGCTGCGATGTCAGAACTCGTTGGCAAATCATATTGCCTATTCCTGCTCTTTGCACCAAAAATTCTGAGCTTCAAAGTTGGCGTGTCAGAGTTATGTAGTTGCTGCCAAACCCTCCTAAATGTCCTGACCAGTTCATTGTGCTCATCAAGCATCCGTAGCAGAGAAGTAAGCAGCTCGGGCAATAGCTGCGCTTCACGGGAGGCAAAATTTGATAACCTGTGGTTGATCTCATTTTCTGGTTCAAAAATATACAGCTGCGCAAACTTTGGCTTTTCCCCGGCAGGTGGCAGCAAAGAGCCAATTCGATGATAGTTCTTGCCACATATGACCATTGAATAAGGACCCCTGGTTGATAACGATCTAGGGTCTATTGTAGCTCCAAATGATGTAAAGCACAGCGAGCCATTGTAGGGTCGAACATTGTCTCTGAAATGCTTAAACATAGGAGAACCTCCAACCTGCAGCAGCTCTGCCAACAGAGCGGGTGATTGTTTCAAAAATGGCAAAGCAACCCTTCCTTTTTGACAACATGACGCATATATCGGGTTAGTTGTATTCCTGCGTCTATCCAATCTTTCGAGATACCAAAACATAGCTCCGCAGTATTTGCAGACACTCTCTGGCTTGCCTATCTTCAAAATATTTGTATGCAAGCGCATCCTAGCAGGTGTAGTGTGTTTTTTTTTTTTTTGTGTAGCAGCATACTGATCTTGCTGTGCAGCATCATCTGAATAGGGATCCTTACTTGGGCCAACAACCTGCGTTTGATTATCAGAAGAGGCATAATCCCCTTCTGGCAAACAAACTGGTGTCCGGGTCAAGTGATGACTGGCATTTGGCTGTTCATATTCGAAAAGGGTAGCAGGAACTAACTTGGTTGATGAATCATGCCATGGCTCTAAATGCCTTGCTCTTTTCCTTTTCAAACTCTGTTCCTTCATTCTGTTTTTTCTAGGAGTCATCGCTGCACAATAAATGCAAACAACAATCAATTGAAGACAGGTACAGAATTCATTGCTGCATCCCTAAATAACGGCTGGTCTATCATAAATTTGATAGCAAAGAAATAAATGACTTGATGTTTCTCACCTGGAGCATGAAAGTATGGCTTCTCCTTGGAGCGAAGACAACTGACTTGATATGCAAGGTAATAAAAGCAGCTACAGCAGTCTCCCTGGAGATTAAGGTTCTTAGTATCCAACAATGAATGCTGCATGAGTTTTCTGCAACAAAACTGAAGGTTCCATACTTGCCTGGTTCAGTGAAGAAGATGGCAGAAGAATGACATATTATGGGGAGCTGTGAAACCACAAGTTTTTTAATAAATGGGGGCTGCATTTAATGGTAATCCCTAATGATTAGACACCCACTTGCTGTCAAAGAATACGTTTTTGGCAGCAATCATTATAAAAACTGAGGGGCATTTAATGGCAACAATGATCCTCACTGAAGCACTCTGATGACCAAGGCATGAGATAGGGTGATGAATGAATGCTTCAATTGGATCAAAGAACAACTGTCGAGATGGAAGTGCAAGATTTAGAAGCCATCACCAAACAGAATATGCAAACACTAACTGACCGAGAGCAAATAACTGGGTACTCTTGCTTAGCAATTATTAATAACATAATGCTTAAATTCAAAGCCTGTCCTGGTAAAGCAACACAAAACTTAGCAAATGGTGCATACATGTTCGTTTCATCTCATGTCACCTGAGTCTTCCAACAAACGCAACACAACAATGTAACAGTCGCAAAATAGATGCTACAAATAGTTACACCTAAGAGAAGCACATAGACCACATCGCATTAAGTAGGCATTGTTGATAATCACATTAAGCAGCACATATACAACCAAGAACAAATAGTTCCACAAAATGTTAGCCTTTCTAACTCCACACCAAGAAACGACTAATCACCATTGTTTTGTTCTAGATACCCCCCAAATACACCCTTCCTATACACAGCAACTAAGTGTTTCCCTTGCCCCCATCACATATAACATAATATAAGGGCATATACATACATAAGTGCATCACCTTCAAATGTAAACAGGTCTTTGCACAGTGCAAGGATTAAAACAAAGGCAAACCCAAAATTACAACCATCCTTACAACCAACCCCCAAACCACACAAAAGACAGCACACCATCTCCTCTGAGTAAGAATCTGCACATCACCAAAGAGTCCAACCCAGAGCCGCGCTGAAGCCTACACACTGGAAAAAGACGTTTCGCAGTTTGGAACAATGATCAGCACAATACTGTGTCAACAATGAAGAAATAGTATGTATCCCAACCAGTAGCAAACACATCCCACAAATAAAGAGGAACAATAACCCGCAAAAGATACTTACCCTTAAATTCATCCCTTGAACAGACTACGTTTAGAAGATGTTTTCTTGGAGACCTCTAAGGAGTCCCCGCCGATCCCAATGTTAAATGGTTTCTGTGAACCACAACTTTCTGGAGTAGACCTCTCATTGTCATCTAGCTTTTCAACCTTGATCTTTGCCGGTGGAGAGAGAAACCTGAGACAGCAACTAATTTTTATGATACAAATGCACAAAAAATGTAAACGAAACTGAGTAATATAAAAGCAAGCATCAATGCATATACTACGCACAGGGAAGCTGAAGGTGAGGTTGGCACAGATGCAGGAACCTTCCCAGGGGAAGAGGCAGAATCAGTCTTAAGAACCTTCACAGACACACCACCCAAAGGAGGGTTGACATCCCTTGTTTCTGCAGAATTCCCAGGCGCAAGAAGCTGTCCTGAATTTGGCGAGTCTATCGCACCAACTGCAACACTTCCTTGCTGAGGCAGAGCAGATGTAGCAGGCAAGGCAACTGCAAGCACTGCCTCATCAGCTGGCGCGACAGGAGGTGGAGCAGGCTGTAAATTCTGTGGCAACTGAACTTGGAGATGACCAGTTGCATCGGCAAGAGCACTGTCAAAAACACTGTAAATTAAATAAAGAAGCACACTTGCAACAAAGAAGGAAATAAGAGAGCACAATCAACCGACATAAAAAAAACAACTCAACATGATAGAAAGCAGCAAGCAACCTAGACGCAGGAATTGGCTGGGAGCCAATACAGAAAGCAGGTGTTGAAGCTTCAATTAATGGTGAGTCCACACATTTGCCTTTACCCTTTTCCTCACGTGAAAGCCTGCCCAAGAGAAATAACCACAAAACCAAACAAAGCAAGTTACCAATGAGCAAAAAAGTTGGGCTAAATTTTCCAAATGTCTGGGAGGCTAACAACCTTGAGGAACTCGCTCCAATATCATATGGCTCTGAGGATTGAACTCCCAACGACACAGAAGGCGTAGCCTGCGGCACAATCTGTATAGGAGCTGGCAGAGCCAACTGAGGAGGGTGCTCAATCAATCCAGCAACCACAATAGGATCGTTAATCGGAACCACTTGAGAAACGCGAAATTCTCCGGATGAAAGGCCAGCCGGCCCTGGAAGCGGCAGTCTGCAGTCAAACTGGACATACTGGCCTCGCAGTTGCTGAAGTTGAGGTGGAAGTTGTCCTGGGCGATATGGAAACCGCTGAGCAAGGTACGCGGCTGAAATATTCGCCAAAGCATGCCCGCAACCACCCATTGCAATGAATCGAGCATCAGAAGTATTGTCCCTAAGAGTCAGCTGGATCTTGTAACTGAGCAACACATTAGGAAAAAAACTAAAGTCAGTGGAAGCTAACAAAAAAAAACAAAAGAAGCCTTTGTAGATTTTAAAACTAACCAAATTCGAGTTTGATCCTCACTTAACTGCCAGTCTGTTGGGCACCAAAAAGTGTTGTCACGGCGGCGCGAAGCAACATGATTACAGATGCGGCAAGAGTTGTAATACCAAGGGATGTTCTCCTCAACATCCACTATCACACCACTGCAACGATGTCTTTCTTCCTGAACAACGCAGAAAGTAAAACAATATTAGCTAGAGGCTGCGAAGCAGAGACAAAACAAAGCCCGCGAGTAGACAACTGCCAGTACCAGCGAAGCATTTGTCTGAGAAAGGGCTCTGAGTTGTGCTAGGGTCTTTGTTTGTCGAGTTGCATCCTCTGCAGCTGCAACAGCAGTTGCAAACTCAACAGGCAAGGAACAAACACCCTCACGCCTCTCCGCAAACCTAAACATACAACACACCAACAAATAGAAACCCAAGTAAAGTCAAGAAACCTGATGGAAAAAGGTACAACGGGCAGCGAGAACATTAGCATAAAACGGACCTGGCGACCAGATGATATGCTTTCGGTACTGAAGGATTGACAGCAATTCTTGTGGCAGCTGAACTGGATAGGACATAAGCATCTGATCCCAAGAAGAAATTTTTAAAAACAAAAGGAGGAAGCAGAACGCACAAAAGAGGTAAAGTAGCTCAGACCGGCACCAAATCGATGTACTCACTCCCTAACTTGTTGACCAAAAGGCCGCCAAACGCAAGAATCACCGTCTCAATCGCATCTGCCTGAGTCAAGGCCACATGATCCAGGATTTGTGAGAATTCATCCCACAGAGTCACCGTCGCCTTCTCCCCACTACATATTTCGTGGAAGAAGCAAATTATTGGTCAGGAAGGGGAAAAACAAAAACCGTAAACCACATTAAAACACAGATGCAAAAAGGAGAAAAAAATCGAGGGACCACCTTTCATCCTCCACGACAACCGTCTGCTTAACTGTTGGCCCATTATTTGTGATCTTGTGAGAAACGCCACTGATTGAGTGCAAACGGCCAACAATGTCTACACCAGTACAGATAACCACGTAAGGACCAGACACATGGAACACCAAGCAAAAAACAAAGTGGAGTGCGAGAATAATCTACGCCCACCTGTCAAGAAACGATGATCGCCAGCACGTGTAGACAGGGACTCGAACGGCAGAAACTCAAAAGAATCGACCGGAAAACTCTGGGAAGGAAGAGCACACTCCTGAAACGAAGTCGCCGGTGTGACACCCAGAGATAAGTCAAAAGAACATGCCCGATATAAATTTGGCGGGTTGCCAAGACCAAAAGACTTGACGACATATATCTTCCTAGCATGTAAGGAATGGGGAATGGCAGCAGCCATGGAAGGAGGTGAGAGGCCTTGAATCAATGTTCCCTGGAGAACACCAGCCAAACAGAATTAGTCAGTCAAATAGCGATGCAAAGAACTGAGAAACAACAGTGAAGGGAAAAAGAGTTCAGACCGTTTCGTCCACCCAGAGTGTGCAGTAGTTGAAAACCCTAACATCACTGGGAGACTTTGCAGGCCACATATGGAGCAGGCGCAGGCGAAGTGCCACACCAGATTTGCGTGGGACGGCGAGATTACAGAGCAGCGTGTGTTCCATCTTGACAGCCGAAACCAAGGAATCGCCGGAATAACTGGTAAGAGCAAAAGATAAAAGAAAGGAGAGCAAAGATTGAGAACGGATAGAGAGAATCTGGGACCAAAATTCGACTGGCTGCGAGAGAGGAAAGAGGAAGGCATAAACCTTGGGTACTACCACTGAAAGAGAAGAGCACATGTGGTGGAGGAGCAAGGCAGGAAGCCATCGCATCAACTGTCATCTCTGCGCAGCAAAGCAGGGAGGTGATGCAGAGAGGGGGGAAAGTGGCGGCTAAACCCCGAGGAACAGAGAGAGGGCAAGACGCAAGGACAATGCTTCTCTCGAGGAGCCACGTCAAAGGCTCAACAATAAAGGAAGGAAAAGAATGAAAACGAAGCACAAATCATTACTCATCCGTGTTCGGCGCGACCCCCACCGCAAACCACCCTCGCCAGAGAGCATCGCCAAAAGCAATAATAAATGGGGCCAAAGCCGATATTGCTGCCCCCGGCGGAAGAAAAGAAGCCACGTAAGCACACACGAAGGCAGCAACCAATAGGAGGGCAATGAACAGAGTAACTAAGTCCAAATGAACAGCCAGATGTGTCTTGGTGTACAGGGATTGGGTGTTTGTGGGATTAACTTTTCTTAATTAGGCAACAGTAACTTTGCTTCTTCTTTATATATAATAATGATTTACCATTTTAATAGAAAATAAATAAATGGGATTCAATTCCTAGAGCCCACTTCTCCCCTCCCCCATCACTACCGCCTTCCATCCCCGCCTTCCACCATCATGAGATTGATGCGGCTCTTCTGTGACCTCCTTCATCGCAGCCTAAACATAAGTTATGGTAGGCATGACGGACTGCACGTTTGGAGCAATGTCGTTGTAACAAATTCAATTTGTACGAGTACATAAACCAACAACTTCTCTTCTTCCCTTCACTATACAAAAACTCATAGGTGACTAACTTAACATAACATATTCATCTCGTTCGTGAAATGCTTCTCATCATGCTTAGTAGTGGTAAGACGTTTCGAAGCAAGGGAAGAACAACTTATAAGTAGTAAGGCTTTGAGTACAGATCACAATATTCTTAGGTTTGAAATTGTTGGTTTCATCCATTAGATCAACTAGTTTGAGTTTCACAAAAGAATTTGGAACAAGGATACTTGACCTAGCTTGTAAGCTCTCAACAAGCAATAAATTTACACACAAAAAAAATCAGTAGAAAATAATTGCATGCTTAAACTCTACATTCTATTAGAACCAATGACCCCTCCAGTTCAAAGAAATCGAGGTTAATTTCCAACCTTGTAATGTTGACAATGTAGTTCCTTATCGTAATTATTAAAAGGAGCAAAAAGGACTTCTCTCTCAGACAAACAAAAAAATCAAAAAGAAAAGGTATCACGAAGAATAATCAACAACCTTGGAATGACCTCCCCTTCCCCCTTGTGATGGCACCACCAATCTTGACCGGTCTGGAGAAACGGAGCCAAGACATCTGAATTAAGGTAGATGTGAGCATTTGGTGGTTGGTTGAACTCACGCATTCATCAAAATCCACCTACAATTGGAACAGGGTTTATGTTGTGGGTGGGTTTTATGGAGAAGTGTAAGTTGTAAAATAAGTGACATACTAAATATTGGGTGCGTGGGATGGACTGTGATTCACTCACGATCCACCCAAATTTGTGAGCTTAAACCATCAAATCTCTAATCTATAACTTTACCTAAGCTAAAACCTTAAAAAGACAACAAAACCCCTAAATTTCAAATGAATATTGTCTCAAAGTTATGGTTATTGAGAATAATTGCAAAGTCCAATTTATTTATGTGGTTGGAAATTTATCATATATTCACTTCCTTCTAAGATTCATGATCAACTTTTTCGTGTTTCTTATATTGTTCATTTCAGGTAGGGATGTGCATTGGATGGGTAGGGTGGGTTTTGAGCAAAAATTCACCCATCCACAACTAAGCAGGTGAACTTAATCATGACCCACAACTACTACTAGTAATATTGTAAGCCAAATGATGCATCCGATTTATGGATTAACCGCTATTTAGTTTTAAGATTTCCTTTTTTTGTGCAAAGTTTTAAGATTTCTTTCATCTTACATTTCGAATATTATGAATTTTGTGAAACTTTAGGATCCAAAACAACCACCCATAATTTGCTATCACTGAACCAATCCCACCCACAAATACATGCATTAGTGGGTGGTTCCAAATTCATCCAAATCCGCATAAAATCGCCCACTACTTGCTCTAGTCCCGAGATCCATCTTGGCTAGGGAGAAAATGTGTACATATTAATACGTAGTTAGGTGCCAATGAGATTTGAACTTTAAATCCTGTAAATATTAGGTAATATTTCGATCACCTACCACAATTAAATTATAAATTTTGTTGCCATCATTTTTATATAATACATCCTAGTTCCTACATAAATAATATTACATTAATATATAACTTCACTCTTTAGGTTTCAAATTCTTAATTTTATTCCTTTCTTCCACCAAATCATCCTTTTGGTGAATCTTCCTAACTTCCTTTTATCATAATAATGACTTCGCTGATAACAATATATTATTAGATTTTAAACCTCAATAAGATCACTATAGGTTGTTGACTAGACATTATCTAAAACTAGATAAAATTTTAGAGTTTTTTTAGGACCATGACCATTGAAAGAAGTAACAAAGTCATGAATGATTATTAAATGAATGACAAAGTCACGAATAATTATTGACCAAGTTATATTGAGATTGATATCATATGAATCATCTTACAAGTTTTGAAAATATATAAAACACTTTATAAGACATTGTGAATGGTCTAAAATTTCTTACAATATTCTTTTGGAAAAAAATCTGACACACTATATATAAAATTCCAACTACGCCACTACAGGTTGAATGTCAGTAGCTCCAAAATTTTATCGGACGATGAAGAGGTTGAAGGTAGAGACGAGAAGAAAGGATCTTGTTCCCAATAGTAAGAGATTGGAGAAGGAAACCTAAAAAGAAAGGGAAAGAGAGGCAAGTGGGATAAGTGCTATTGTTATATAACTCGAGGAAATGTTATTTTAAATAGTGCAAAACAATTTAATTGAAAATAACTCGGGATCCAACAAACTCATCCCATAATATTTTTTGTCAGATGAATTCTTTTTCCTAAATAACTTATTATAATTTACTCAAGTCAAAACAATTCACCTAAATAATCCATCCATATGAGCCCTAAAGTAGTGTATGAATGAATAATCATATATGCAGCATTGTGAGTTTGAGGATTCCGGGCTGTCCGACCTACTTCTAGCTAAGGGAGAGGATGTTAAGTTTGCGCAAGTGTAAAGAAAGGCCAGGATTGGATTGGATTATTCCTCGTGGCAAGAAAGAAGATGCCATCAAGAGGAAACAGACGCTAGCAGCTGCAGTCAGTCAACCAAGAGCCAGCCATGAACGAAACAAAGCTATTTACAGACCAGCAAGTTACCCACGTCTCAAAAATACTTTGTTTCCCGTCAATGAAGCGAAACAACAAATTAATATCTGTCATGATTCTCGGGATAACAAAATTTTCTAGCTATATTCTCAAAATCAACATTATTATTGTCTCCTTGTAGAAACCACAATCCCCATAACCTGCATGCGTTGAGCCAAAACAAAATAGAAAAACAGCAATCAGGCATGTGAAAGGGAAAGGGAAAGGGAATTCTCCTCGTATAAAAAAAGAAGTAAAGGGATTATTTCATATCGAGTAGCTAGGAACAAGTTATTATATCAATCTAATGGGGGAAACCTGAAGCTAGAGACAAAGGTAACCAAGAGTAGCATCCCAAGTACCTTGAGAAACAAAAATGGAACTCTACCCAATTGTTGTATGTTGCATGCAGTCCCACTTCACCCAGATGAAGCAGTTCCTGCATATTCTTGTACCGAGTCAATTCTGGAGTCGGGCATCATATTAAAGCCAGGAGCTCGAAAGCCGATTAAATCGAATAAACTTTTCCTTGGCTTAGGCTACACAGACTGACCTGCAACTTCTTCAGTTTGCCTCAGGATGAATGACTTGGAGAACGTTGAAAATGCTGATATCCCATGGAAGTATTTTGAGATAATATTCCATCTTCTATCCATTTTGAAGATATTTCTTGCACGATCCAGGTTTGCACAAAAACGGAGACAACCTATGAAACCGGAGCAGTAGCAGTGCAGCCCTCAGTTGAAGGAAGAACAGGGTACTTTGGAGCGTCACTGCCTCTAACTATTCTGCTATAGACAACTTTGAAAGACTGCGAGCCGTATGGCTTGCTCAGCAAACTCACTGGCATTCTCAGTGTCTGCTTTCGGTTTCTCCTACCCCTAATCAAAATGCTGAAAGTTCTCTCTCCATCACCAGTTCTTTCGCCACTGCTGCCCGAGTCTTTGATGCCCTCACTCTCACTGGAACCATTCCCACAGGAGGAAGCTTTCACCCCTGGCAAGTCTGAAGAATTCAGATTCTGCATGCCAAGCACAGCCGAGTCTTCATTAGCATTATCGTGCTTCCCCTCTGGCACTGGAAGACTTGTGTCCTTGATACATTCTGTGGTTACACTGTCAATATCTGCTGGCAGGAAGTCAGGACTTTGACTTTTCGGAATCTCTGCTTTCTCTTTACTGTCCAATACAGAATAAGCAATCGGGGCCACAATGGGTGGTGTTGGTGCAGGGAACTCCACCACATGACAACCAGGCCACAAAGAGGTAGGGACAAATTCTGAGACATTAGGGTTCACATTGCACTGCCATGAGTAATGGCTTGGATGGAATGCTGTACTAGTTAAGGGATAAGTACTTGGCGGTATTCCCTGGCCTTGACTACTGTAAGGAGGAGGGTACATGAAGGGAAGTGGTTGCATCATGTTTGGGGTATGTGGAGGTGACGGAAATGGGTGGTGGTGTGGAGAGGGAATTGGACTAATGGAGGTGGGTAAGACGGTTCCAGTACCCGGGTGAAGTGAAAC